AGTAATTGCAAACGGCCCATAGAACTTAGGTGATAGTTTGTGCCACCCATTCTGAGCTAGAGAGGTTTGTCTATATGGGTGTAGCTTTAGATAGACACGCTCCCCAACTAGAAATTCCACCGCCCTATGTTTTTTTATCATATTGGGATATCCAAGCCTGTGCTCGCATGAGGTTGGCCTTTAGAGCTTTGATGGTGGTATCTCTCTCAGTCAGCTACTGATCTACTGCTTCCACTGCTGAAAAACCTGGTTCATATGGTAATATTGATGGTGGGCCACACCCATAAAGGGCTTTAAAAGGAGTCATGTCAAGTGCGTTATGGAAGGTAGAGTTGTACCAAAATTATGCCCATGGCAGCCAATGAGCCCATGTCTTCAGATTTTCCGCAGCGAAGCAATGATAGGTCTCAACACAATGATTGAACACCTCAATCTGTCCATCGGATTGGGGATGATAGCTGGTGGATCGATGTAGTGAGGTGTCGTGTAGGTGAAAACATTCATGCCAAAAGTTACTGAGAAACGTAGGGTCCCTATCTGTGATAATAGCCATAGGAGTGCCATGCAATCTCATGATTTCCTTGATAAATGCTTCTGCTACTATAGCGGCTGTATACGGATAGGCTAAGGGCACAAAATGCCCATACTTAGAGAGTCTGTCAATGACCACTAAGATGACCATAGGCACATTAGACTTGGGCAATCCAGAAATGAAGTCTATCATGACTTCTTCCCATACCATGTTAGGGATCTTGAGTGGTTGCAATAGTCCCCCTGGGCTTTGAGCCTCGTATTTTTTTCCATTGACATGTGGAGCACATCATCACATAGTTTTGACTTGCATATTTCATGCCCACCTAGAAATAATGTGTTGCAATTGTATGATACGCCTGCAGAATGCCTGAGTGGGCTGACTGGGCTGAGATCACCAAACATCCTTTGTAGAAGAGCATGGAGTCCATCACATTCACATATATCTAGGGGTAGAGTTTCGATCTTGGGCCCATTTGTTGCGTATAGCTTGCAACTTAGGATCAGCTAGAGCTTCTTGCTTGAGAAGATCCACCAATGGATAAACTGGTTTATATACTGTCAACTGGCTGAGCGTGTTGATGATGACAAGGCATCTGCTACTCTGTTAGTAGGGTCAGGCTTGTATTCAATGACATAGTCATAGCCCATGAGTTTGTGGGCCCAACGTTGTTGCTCTTCTGTATGTATCTGCTGCTCTAAGAGATATTTGAGACTTTTGTGATCGGTTTAGATGATGAAACAACGCCCAACCAAGTAAGCTCTCCATTTACGGACTGCTAATACAAGGGTCATGAGCTCTTCTTGTAAGTGGAGTTTGCTAAGGCCTTCCCCGACAATGCTTTGCTGAAATAAGCAATGAGGCGACCTTCTTGCATGAGAACTGCTCCTAGACCTCCTCCTAAAGCGTCACACTCCAAAGCAAATGTTTTGGAGAGGTCCGAATAAAATAGGTGGGGTGGAAACCACTGCCTTTAAGTTTTCAAAAGCATGCTAAGCATTAGTGGACCAATGAAATGAATCCTTCTTTAATAGTTGAGTTAGTGGGGCAGCTAAAAGCCCATAATCTTATAAGAATCTTCGGCAATAGCTTGTAAGGCCCAGAAAGCCCCTCAAGCCCTTGATTGAAGTGGGTCGCCTAACAGTTCCTTTGCTGACTATATGGCCCAAATATTGGACTTGGGTCTTGCTGAATTCACATTTAGACATCTTAGCATAAAGCTGATGATGTCTTAGGAGAGAGTGTGTGTGGCGGTGAGATGTTCCATATGTGAATCCCAATCTCAACTCTATATTAAGATATCATAAAAAAATACTAGTATAAAGTGACAAAGGTAAGGAAGAAATACCCCATTCATGAGTGCTTGAAAAGTTGAGGGCGCATTGGTGAGTCCAAACGATATCACTAGAAATTCATAGTGACCATCGTGCGTATGAAAAGTTGTTTTGTGAATGTCACGTGAGTGCATCCTCACTTGATGATATCCTGATTGGAGATCCAATCATAGTTTTCAAGGCGCCAAGGTGAGGCTAGGCGACAGGGGGGCGCCTTGTCGCCTAGGTTAAGTAAACCATATATCCTAGGGTAGTTCCCTAGGTTCCATAGCCATCTTTCCATAATAATTATCCATAATTTTCATAAGAGAAGTATAAATTTCATGTTTAAGTCTAGAAAATCAAAAGAAAGGAAAGAAAATTCAAAAAATATAGGGGCTGAACCCCCTACTTTTGTTATAGGAAAAGAAGAAAAGAAAAGGTGGAAGAAGAAGAAGATGTGGAAGAAGAAAATGTGTTGATTAGACAAAATTTTAAGTTCTTCCCTTGCTTATTGGTTCAGGTTTTGAAATCTTTGAGGGTTCAATCAAGGATCAAAATTTCGATAAGATATGCCCTGTATTGGGCATATTGTATTGTATCTTTGGGGTCCCGATACACCTGTTTATAGGTGTTTTCGGGTATCCATTTTTTAAATAATATATATATATAATTATATTTAAATATGAAATTGGAAACCAAAAAATAAAAAAAATAGGGGGAGTATCATTATAAGTACCGATACACCTCTGCAGATACACAGGTGTATCGGTACTTTGAACCATGGGTTCAATACAGCAGTTTGCACTGTTTGTGTTGATTAAACCCTAACAAATAAGAAAATAATAAAAAGAAATTAGTATATTAACACAAAATGAATATTCTAGTTTAATATTTTATAATTATAAAGTCAAAAACTTGAAAATATAAAAGTATTTTATAACACAGTACACAAAACTGCTTGACGATTGGGCAAGGCGAGCCTCCAAGGGCGCCTTGTCCTAGGCGTCGCCTTGACAACTATATGGATCCAATTTGGAGATTATAGGCACAGGTTGAAGCTCATCTAACAATTTTTCAATGACAGGTATAGGAAAATGATCTCATACTGTTATTTTGTTTAGGGCCCGACAGTCAATACAGAATCTCCATGTAATGTCCCTTTTTTTGACAAGAAATACTAGGGATGAAAATAGGCTGGAACTTGGCGTAATAAGTTTCTTTTGAATCAGGTCCTGAACTTGCTTGTCAGTCTCTGTTTTCTGAGATGGGGAATAACGATAATGCTGAACATTTGCTGGCAATGCCTGTGGTACAAGCCGAATATGATGGTCATACAAGCGATGTGGTGGCATAGTTTTCAAGGCGTCTAGGCAATTCTGGATGACACTAGGGTGCCTTGTGTATATTCCATTCAGCATGTATATTAATTGAACAAATAGCAATTCTCTTTATTAAGAACATTAAATTTCCTCTAAAATGTGGCAATTCATCACATCTAAAAGATAAAAATCTTTTACAGATATTAATTACATTATTTTCAAAAATAAAACTACTATAATAAGTATTTAATAGAGCAATTTCGTACCAATTAGAAGCTAAAGAAGGTTATTAACTTTATATGATAAATATTCACAATGTACAGTAAAATAGAAAAAAACAAGAATGGAACTTCTGTTTTATTTAATTAGAGAGAGAGAAGAATAGAAAAAAAGAACCTTTTTCTCTCCTCAAAACCCTTTGATCTTTTAAATTTCAATAGTAAAACATTAAACAAAGTACAATTGTTAATATATAGCATATAATAAAATGCATTAACACATACATTAATAAAATACACCAATATAAATGATATTATAAAAGATGCCCACCTTGTCATTTTTGTTGCCTAGGTGGGTGCCTAGTTGCTAAACATCCTTGACAACTGTGTGGTGGTAGGGACTGTGGTTCCTGGAAAACATCCTTGAATTCAGCCAATATCTGTTGGAGTTGAGCTTTGGTGTAATTCTGGTAGTAATTCTGTTTGAGGAGATTGTAGCATCAGCCCATTGGGTTCTAAGCCCATTTATAGGAGGATATGATTCTGGCCTTTGATTACAACTCCTCATGATTACCTTTAGCCATTTGGTGTTGTACCTGCCATATTATCTGGTGGATCTATTGTAGGAACTTAGGTGGAGTTATTATAGGTTTTAGGGATTTGATTAGAACAGGGTTCATGGCACTAGTACAGATTGTTTCACATTTTAGGTTTTCATTCAGTGTTGATGGTGGGAGATACACGGGTGGTTATTAGATGGATGATGGTGGGATTAGAGTGACCCTGGCTTCTTTGCCATCAACAAGTTTCTGTCTTTGGCATCTAAAGTGGGCATCTTATTTAAATGGGTCCCAGAATCTTTTTCTTTTTATAATCTAATAAAGTTAAACAGTTACCAATCAAATAATAATAATATAAAAGATCAGCCAATTCACTAGAAAATATTCTGTTTGGTGGAGTAGTGCAGAAGAGTGAGTTTTGCAAGGGACCTTCTGGCCCAGAACACCTCTTTGTTTGTCTTCTCTCTCTTTACAGTTGTGCAGTGTAAATGTTTGGTTTGTGGCCTTGTCCACTATGTAAGAGACCTTCTGGATTAGGCGATTAGCCTATAAGCCACACCCAAAATTGTATTGGCGCTTTCTCTGAAATGTATTAGTCATTTAAATGATACAATTTCTTATTATAAATCTTACCCATATAGAAGGGCTTATTATTGACATAAGGCAAGTTCTTGGGGCTGAAATTTGCTCTATGAATAGAGGGCAGCAAGACAAACATGTCAAAAGCCCAAAAAACAAAATTGCCATGTCAACATGCAATTCATGTTGATTCCATACAACATATCTTTGAACAGGAAGTGGGAGCCACTTGTTCAGTATCATGAAAGAAATCCTACAAGCAAAAAATATTATTTAAGTGGCATCAATAATGATCTAAATAGACCAGGTGGGTTCTCAAAAGGATAATTTCCTCCTTTTGTGGTTTCTGTCCTTTAAGACCAGTTGTAGTATAGAAATTGTATGAATATATTCTATTGATATTTTGTTGACATTATTAATATAACTGTTTTTATTGTTTTTATCTCTGTTCATTCTAAAGAATGTTCCACATATAGGTTAGGTTCCAGGAGGTTTCAGTATCGTGGCTACACTGGACAACCCAAATCCAGTACCACAAGGCCAGACAGTCAGCATCTGTTGCCAGAGAAACCATCAAGCTCCCACTCATGGAGTACTTATATCGTCGTATGCTATCCCAACTCACTATGGTCTCTTGTTTGGCAGTCCTAATTATATTGTTGTTAGTTTTGACAAGATACTGACCAATCCATTTTTCTTAATCATGCTTCTTTCTGTCAAGTCTAATGTGCCTGCCATGGATGAAATGTTGGATTCTTTGCAGCCCACAGCTTTATTGGCAATTGCTGGTGGAGCTATGCTTGTTCACTATAATGATGAAAGGAGAGCAGTTTTAAAAGGTGCCTCCTAAGCACCATTTCACCAAAAATCTTGACTCAAGCGCTTATGATGGGCTATATCTGTTTCTTTTTCTTTGATATGCAACAAAATAATTTTATTAAACAAAAACTCCTAGTTGCCCTGAAAATAACTGTAGGCCCAAATATTTATAAAGCCGGCTTCTGAAGGAAGAAATAAAACATTATCTTGGAATTACAGATTGATTCCGAGTCCTGGAAAACTCCATAACCCATTCCATATGATCCCTAACAGCACCTGTCTTTGCCAATGCATCAACCACCATATTTGCACTTCTAGGTATCTATTTGAATGCGCTGTTCAAACTGGCACCCATGTTTTTTGCAAGTCTATCATAAATCTCCATGGAACTTCTTCTTATTTCTTCCAAAAAATTATGGTTTGTTAGTCCCCCTTTCTCTCCACCTCCCTTAAACCATTCATCTTCATTAGTTTTAAGCCCTGAAGATGGGCCAACAATTCTGCCTGTAAAGAAATTCCATGTCCTACTGACCTGAGAAACTGCCTAGAATATTGCTTTTGTTGTCTCTTATCACTCTCCCAACTCCAGAAGCACCTGGATGCCCAAGACTGCAGCCATAAAAGTTGAATTTTATCTTACCCAAAACTGGAGTTGTCCACTCTTCTCTTTGATGTTTTGGATTGGAACCCAACTACTATTTGCCATCCTCTCAGACTCAGCAGGTCATTTAGAGATGCACTTTTAAGTTCATCACTCAGCTTAGCCCAATGAGCCACTCTAACCATAGTCAAAGTCAATTACTGATTCTACCACCAAATACTTGTCTTAAAATATTCCTCCATTTCTTTCACTACATAAACCCCAAAGGACCACTGCACACACACATTGCCATGGTATTTTTTTGTCATTGAGTTTTGCATGTCATTTTACTTGTATTGAACAAGCCCATAACATAGCTCAGTGCTACCTGTAGATTGAAAAAATGATTCCATGCCTGAAGCATAGTGGCAATGCAACAGGATGTGGTCTCATCGCTATACATGTATTTTTTATATAGTTAATTTACATCTTTATGAAGCTGTCATCTTTATCAACTTAGGTTTCCAAGTAATATACAAACCAAACAAAAAGTTTTCTAAGTAAAAGAGAAATGTGTCCATGATAGTGGTGCATCTATTCATTGCATAGTTGATGGTCAGCAAACCATAAAATGAACTTTAGTGGTCTCGTAGTAGCTTTCTATGACTAGTTTAAGGCCAATGTTAGTCCCAGCTATCTGGGATCTTGGGAGGGGTGGACTGGATACAGCCCTAACCTTTGGCACTTTTTTTTTGCACAGTGGCTGCTTTCAAACTCAAACCCATGTTCTCACACTTGGCAGCCTGAGATTTTACCATTACACCAAGTAATGGCCCCTGACTAGTTTACTTCATTGACTTAAATACTTAGTAGTCGTACTTTGGGGGAGGGAGATTGAGACTAGAGAGTTTAAATCCTATTCCTTTTGGATGCAAGAGTTTACTTCAATTGGAAGCTTAGGATTCTCAGCCAATTTTGGCAAAGTTACAAACTAAGCAAGTTTTGTTTTGACCCATCTTACTAAAAGTGAAAACAATCCATACTCAAACTAATTACATAATATATACCAAAAACCAAAAACCAAAAACCAATCTTTATATCACAAATGAGTTATTCCCATACCAAATTACCAATTAAAAATAAACTCCTGATCATTCATGTTATTCATGGAAGCTTTCTTTCTCACATTTTTTTTCCATTTTTGTTTAATTCATGAATTGTTTTTCTGCATTGTTCCAAGGTACCGAGCACAAAGGAAACAACATTAAGGGACCTACAATTGGAGGCCCTTTTTCTTTGATCGATATGGAACACCATTTGGTTACAGAACGCAACTTTCGAGGAAACTGGGTACTTCTCTACTTTGGATATACTTCTTCTCCTGATGTTGGACCAGCAGAAGTCCAAAAAATGGCCGAGGCTGTTGACATATTAGGTCTGGTACATCTGCTAGTTGATGCTTTAAAAAATATTTTTTTTCTAGTTTCAGGATGATTATTATTTGTTTTTTCGTAATTATGATTAGATGATTATGTTTCAATCATTCTGTTGGTAAGGGTGCTGATATTTGTCTTTTACCTGGAATAAGAGTCCAAACAGAACTTGAAGGTTATGCCAGTTTTTGTTACCATTGATCCTCAACGAGATTGTCCTTCACAACTCCGGGCCTATCTCAGAGGTAGTTGTTTCTTTTGTTCTGTACATTCTTATTAGTTGGTATTCCTTTCAGCTACCCCTACCTTAATTATCAGTAGATATGCACTGACTCTATCCTTTGTTCTTACTGTCAAAACTGCAGAATTTGACCAAAGAATAGTAGGCTTAACTGGACCTATTAATGCTATAAGACAGATGGCTCAGGAGTACCGTGTTTTTTTCAAAAAGGTAGAAGAAGAGGGGAGTGATTATCTTGTTGAGTCATCACACAACATGTAAGCATGAGCGTGCCTGAAATACTAAAGATTAGATTGTATGATTTGTGTCCTTGATCAAAGGTTATGCAACAGGTACCTATTGGACCCAAACATGGAAATATTGAAATGTTTCGGAGTGGAGTATGATGCAGAGCAACTCTCTGAAGCAATCCTCAGGGAAGTAAAGAAAGTCATATAAATTGAGGTACATCAACCCATAGAAGGTACCCTCTGACATGGTAAGGGACCATCTTTTTTCATATGCATTTTATCATTTTTCATCTTTTTTGTGTTACAATAGAAATAGCTTTTAGTGTTTCGTAGTTTTAATTGGATTTGATGGTCAGTATGACCATTGGATGGTTTTTTGTGGGTGTTCTTTGAGCTTTGGTTTCAAATGCAGTACTGTACATTAAGAAACAGGGAAACGAAGAGAATTAACGAGTTCAAAACTATTCTTTGACTCTATTTTTGGTTTTTCTGATACAATATAGCATTTGCAGTTTTGCACATGATAACTGCATTGTGCATCTTTTTTTTTTCTTTTTTAAATATCTGAACATTTAAAGCTCTAAGTTTTTCATCACTGCCCACTGCATTGTGCATCTTGATGTAGAACCCTAGAACTTTGAAGATTTGCCAATATTGGGGTGAATATGTGTATAAGATTTGTATTCATGGTGAAGTCGTTAGGCACGGAACATCCAATACTGCTGTCTTATTGATTGAACTTAGGAGAGAAACAATAAACTACTGGCAAGTGGATCCATATCCCTTAAAAGCAAATTGAAAGCATATAATCTTTCTGGCAACTCATAGGGGTCTAATTGGTTGTATCTTTGGGCTGTGGCCCCCCGATTTGATAGCCTGGGAATGATGTATTTGGTGTTTGGATTGGTATATACTGCATGGGTTTAAGGGCCATCATCTCACCTTTCAATTCTGACCATTGAATTTTGCCTTCCAACTAAGATACAATTAATTACATCCCATGTCTATTATTAGGCAAATTCCGTAACCCTTGGACTGTTGTATTATACCACTATTGCTGACGCCTAAGAAAAACAAATTATGAAATTTAAAGGACAAAATATAAACTGTTCAAGCTGTATGGTGGGTTGCATTTGAAAATTAGATTAGAATGGTCTTCTAGCAGTTTGGCGTCTTTTCTTTTTTGGGGTGGTCTTCAAGCTAATCAGTTGACATTTGATGATACTAGAGGTGAACTTAAGAATGATGAATGATGTGATCTTAGGCTATGTTTGGTTTGACAGAAAATTAAGGGAGATTTCTTAAGAAAATTCACAAGTTTGGTTAATGATTCGCCTTAAACTGTCTGTTTCTCTCATATTTTGCATCAAACCACACATAGCCTTAAGGTCTATTTTTTCTATATCCTTGGTCCGTCTGAAGCAAGCAGAAGAGCTACTGGTAGTGATAGTAGCTTATTACAAGTAGCCAACCGACTAAAACTTGGGTAAGATTCAAGGCTTTTGATCACGTGAGTGCTTTTCCGGGTTACGTAGAAAGCACATGGGAGTATGGGACTCTTTCCCCCCAGAGTCTCTTTTTAACTTGCGCCTTGCGTTCCCAAGCATGAAGAATAAGAAGACTACGATCTCTAAAAGAGATTCAGATTTCAGACTTTCTCCACTCTCACTAACCTTTTTTTGAAGATGCCAACGTTGAAAGAAAGCTCCCTGGTCCCTGATAGAAAAATACAAGCTCATAAATTATTCTTTTTAATAGATTTATCTAAAACAATAATGATTCTTTTTATTTGAGGTATAAAGTAAGAAAGTTGGTATGAGACCTACCGGCTGACCCCGTTTTGATCCAAGTTGCTGTAAGATCGGATCATGGATCCTCTGTTTCTCAAAGAAAAGAAGCGGATGGTTGTGAAGTGGGGCTGACTTTGTTTCTTAGCGTTGTATTTTTGACCCTTATTGTTTCTTAGCGTGGCCAGGCCAGGCTAGGTTCAGAACATCTCTCTCTCTCTCTCAATGAGAGAAGCTTCTCTTTTGTCGGCCAAAAGATGAGAAAAACAAGTTGAGACACCCGGAATCGTCGTCATTTGATTTGATGCGGCTAGGAAACACCTGTACCCACCAAAAGATTGAGAAATATATTCATGCTGTACAAATATATGCAGGATGCAGTCAAGCCGTGGATCCCAAACTCATGGATGAGTGGGCTTGGCCCCACAACGCCTCCTCTGTCCCTACTCCCTCGCTGTCAGTCTCAATAATCCATCCCATTCTTGTGTCTTTCACTAGCGTCATCCACAATTGTACCTAAAATTAACATAACAATCTTAGCACGTCCAAGTTTTAAATTTTTAATTAACCCGTGTACCCGAAAATGCATTGTTGCGACGTTTGAATGATCTGTGTCTGGGTTGGATCTTTTTAACCTCATGAACATAATCATACTCAAGGGCATCTGGTGTGCAACCTAATCTTAGGAGTCAGGCTTTGAATAAGAACAATTTCCCAATAATCTGAATCTGATCAAATAATTTTGATAATAATTAATCCCCCTAGGCCCCTATCCCCATTACGTTGAGACTTGAGATGTGTGCTCCATCCCAATGATCCCATCGCATAGCATAGATTGATCATCTTTCATCAATAACTATAGAAGGTTCTCACTTCTCAGTAATCCCCAGAAATTAATCCCGTCGAACATTAGTCCAAACTCTTCTCGCCTCATCCCAGTCATACTACTCAATGGATGAACCCGGGTCCGGCACCGACGTCTACCAATTTACCAACTTCCCTTTGTGCCAGACTCATGCATCATTCTCCCCCCATATCGATTTTGCTCCTCTCTCTCTACCGTACGATTGTACCATAAAAGCTAAAGGATTGAAATTCACCTAACTACCACTGTGACAGCAAGCACGTAGCCCCATGCCTTTTTGTTTTTGTTAGGGGTAATAATGATTATGCATGAGCGGTCACGCTGGGAAAACCGTGTGAATCCTACTGTTTTTGTCAGTCAGTCATTGGTGCCGTCTACAATTTGACGTATTGTTTTTTTTTTTTTTTTTTTAATTTTCTCGGTCATTCTTCACCAACTGAAACAAACCAGTGATTAGTGATGGATGGGGATGGCTATTGGCTCGCACCATTAGGTTAGTCAGTCAAACAAGCGCGCTGCCGAGAAGTCATAACCCAGGGCCTGGCTGGGGCTGGGGTGGTGGAACCATGGAAGTGAACGATTCCAGGACCAGGAGTCGGAGTCGAGAGGGAAATAGAATGGAGTAAACAATACAGCTGGAGTGGAGCCTGGAGCCGGAGATCCTACGTTATGGAATCCCAAACCTACGTGAGCGACTGACCTCATTATCCCCCCTTCTTAGCTGTAAATAGTCAAATAGCATAACAAATTGAAAACCAAATCGGGAATGTAATAAGTATCATCCCATGGCCCATCCCATCCCCCCCTTTCTCACTCTTTATCTTTCATTCATTTTAGCCTTTTTCTAAAAATCTAGAGATCCATATTTCCTCCACGACCGCATCATCCGGCTTTTCCTAACAAAAAGACAATCTGCATTTGCAATAACTCTCACTTAAAATATTAATTCTCTTTATCTTCATTTTTTTTTTTCTCTTTCCATTCTCATCTTCAAGACGGCAAGAAGAATAGAATAAGGGGAGGAAGAGAAAGAGATTTAAAAAATAAGATAGTTGGTTTCTTTTAGGCCACTCCAGGAGGTTGTGAAATGTGATAATACACACCTTCCTGGGGGTAGGCTTGTTGAACTTGTTCTCCTGATTCAATTCAACCAGAGATCTCTAACTCCTTATTTTGTAACTTGGTTTGTTAAATATTTCTTTTTTTTTATTCTATACTCGTAATGGGTTGGTTGGTAGTGTTCAACTTGTGACGAAGCCGAAGATTGTTTGAATTTTTGTTTTAACTCTTTTGCTGGATAGAGCTGCCGGAGACGTGGCCTTTCCCGGCAGTTTCCAATCCTCCGGTTTGTTTTTTATTATTATTTTTCTTTCTATTAAACCTCCCCCGTGTTTTTTACCATCGTTGGCTTTATAGCTGTCTGAGTCTCTTCTCTTATAAAACTCGACCCGATTAGACCCGTTAGAGCATAGAGAAAGGGGAGAGATTTATGACAACAATGAGGGAGTACTCACCGGTAAAGAAGTCGGGTTGTGGTATTATGATGTTTTACACTGGAGTTTTCCGACGCCGGAGAGCCTTGCCGAGAAGATCAGCCTCTACAAGCGATATTCCCACGCCCGACAGCGATAATGTTCACCAGCTCACAACCACCACTCCGAAGAGGAGACGAGGAGGCTCCGACGAGACTGCTTTCATTGACACCTCTAATTTGACCGACCCTCCGCAAAAACTACCGGACAAGCCCGTCCATAAAGCTACCCCAAATCATCGAAAGACCCATTCTTACCATCAACAGAACCAAACCAGAAAACCTTCGGACGGAATTACGACAAGTTCGACGTCCTCGACCGATTCAAGCCAAACGTCATCGACAACAACAACAACAACAACAAAGGTTTCACCAACGCAAGGTAGAAAGGTACCCAAGGAAGCTATTGGCATCTCCGGGGAGCTCGATAGCATGATCGCTGATCACCAGAAATCCAAGGCATGTAATACTTTGGTTCGAGCTTCTTCAGGTAATGTAATGCTCTATGGTCATTTGGGTAACTTAAGGCAGAAAGGAGCCGGCAATATGAATTCACATAACCTTCCCAATTCTACCACGAATGTTCTTGAGCATCTACCTAAAACTGCACGAGAGACGAATTTGGCCATCAACGGCAGAAATAACAGTAACAGTGTAATGGGTAATATAGTAAGGACGGAGAAACATCATCCCAAGGAGCAGACAGGGTCTCTGTGTCTAGCTCCTTCCAATAAGTCGGACCCCGAGGAATTGAAAGCGAAGGGAAACGAAGAATATAAGAAGGGGAATTTTGCAGAGGCTCTGGCTTTGTACGATCAAGCTATCGCTATCGACCCAAATAAGGCTTCTTACAGGAGCAACAAGAGCGCTGCATTGATGAGCATGGGTCGGCTTCTCGAGGCGGTTTTTGAATGCAAAGAAGCCATTAGAATCGAGCCTTCATATCAGAGAGCACATCACCGTTTGGCAACTTTGTATCTAAGGTACGTAAATTAATTGTAAGCAGTCGTCTCACTCCCTGTATTTGTGGCAATTCACATTGACACTGTTCTTACAGATTGGGAGACCCAGAGAAATCTTTGTATCATTACAAACATTCAGGACCCGAAGCCAACTCTAATGAGATTACCCAAGTTCAAGCTCTTCGAACCCAACTCGACAAGTGCACCGAAGCTCGCAAGCTGAAGGAGTGGAAGATGCTGTTAAAAGAAACTGAGTGCACACTATCCTGCGGTGCGGATTCAGCTCCACAGGTCAACCACCTATTGCTAATGTCTCTCTATAATCTCCATTCACAGATCCTTTATCTTAAGTCATTTTGCACTGTTTGCACAATAAATCATTATCTATGATATATACATACTTACTTGGGTGGATCTTCTGAAATGAAAAAGGTTTTGGCGTCCAAAGCCGAGGCCTTGCTGAAGCTCCACAGGCACGAAGACGCGGATACAACGTTAACCAATGGACTGGCTTCTGACATGGACGCTTATACTAAGTTCTATGGCCCCGACGATAGCGCTTATCTATTACTAATACGAGCCCAGGTTGACATGGCCGCCGGCAGGTTGGTATTAACGTTTTCCTACTGCAGTTGTTTCTACTTAATTTTTAACATAAACGTTAAGAATTCGAACAAGTTTTACGAAGTCAACAAACGTGATTAGAGGAGATGTGTCGGCACCAGTAACTTGTGAAGAAGAAACTGTAAAATTTACGGTGGGAGTCAGGGAGTGGGCCTGTTTATTGATTGTAGAAAGGAAAGAAAGGTAATGTTGTTAAAAGGGGAACATGGAATAGTTCAGTTCACCAATTAGTCTTTTCGAGCAGAATTAAATTAAAATTATGGGTGGTTCTTTCTCTGCATCTTCTCGCTTCAATCTTACACATCAAAAAGGTTAAGCTTTGTTAATTTAATAAATTAAATGGGCTAATAACAGGTTCGAGGACGCGATTGAAGCGGCTCAGAAAGCAGCTCGACTAGACTCGGGTAACAAAGAGGTAGGTCTGGTTGTGAGGAGGGCCAGAGCCGTGGCCTCGGCTCGATCAAATGGTAACGAGCTCTTCAAGGCCTCAAAGTTCTTGGAGGCGTCAGCGGCGTACAGTGAGGGACTGGAGCACGATCCGCTCAACTCGGTCTTGCTCTGCAACAGAGCCGCTTGTCGATCCAAACTGGGTCAGTTTGAGAAAGCCGTTGAAGACTGCACCAGAGCGTTAGAGTTGCGACCATCTTACGGTAAGGCCAGATTACGAAGAGCCGACTGCAATGCTAAGGTGAGTAAACTGACGCCTGAATCGCAATGGGTGTTAACCGAAGAGTAATTGGATTGGATTTTTGTCGTCTGTAGCTGGAACGGTGGGAGGCTTCGATACAGGACTACGAGATGTTGATAAGGGAAACGCCGGGAGACGAGAAGGTCGGCCGGGCGTTGTTCGAGGCCCAGGTCCAGCTCAAGAAGCGGCGGGGCGAAGATGTGAAAGACATGAAGTTTGGTGCTGACGTGGTCGTCGTTGCCAACAACGAGCGTTTCAGACACTTGGTGACGTCGCCTGGTATAGAAAAAAGAAAAAAGGGTTTATGCATCATGCATGCGTGTTTATGACAAAAGTTTGCACGTGAGTTCTCCATGGGTTCCAGTGTTGGGTGGGTGGGCCTTGGGGACTATGGCATTCTCTCTTGAATGCGATAGATGGGAACCACTGAATCCAACATGATCTGATGAGGTCAGATTTGGTGTAGTTAAGTAAAGTCTCACGTGGGGATGAGCTTGTGTGTGTCTGTGTTCCCTTCATCCCGCTGTCCAACCAAAATCAGCCAGTCCAGACAGTTGGATTGGTATCCATTGCTGGACTCACACGAGTTGAAATCAGCCTCTCACAACGTTTCACAATACATTCCCGCCATACATTGAAAACATCTCTATATGATGTCTTACATGGCTAGCTTATCATATTTAGTATTATCATCGTGAGATGTTCCCAATATACCGCAGGATTGTGCTGTGGGATGTTGTGGGGGTTGATTTGAACTCGACCCACACACCCCTTACATGGCCAGCTTTCATAAAAAAAAGTGAATCACAGGTGGCAGGCCGGGCCTGTAGTAGAATGATACATCCTCCATTCCATTTTGTTTTCATGGTGAGGGCTGAGAGTGGAAATACAGAAAAATGTAATCCCTGTTGTTATTTTGTTTATTGGCAGGAATGTCGGTTGTGCTTTTCTGCAACAAATCGAGCGACAATCAAACATTTAACTTCATGCAGCAACTATGCAAGAAATACCCTTCTGTCAACTTCCTCAAGGTCTCTCTCTCTCTCTTCAGCTTTGTCATTTTCGTTAGATGGATAGGGTAAAGTTGCAATTAGAAAAGGAAAGTCGAAAGAAATGGAATGGTTGTGGGCTTGTAGCCGAGTCCGACTTCGCTGACCGAGTCGTGTCTTAGTTTTTTCGTCCTTGTTGAATTGATTCACACTATGGTTGTCCACGTTTGATAGCCCAGGCTGTCAATATGGTATTGATATCGTCCGAAAAAACTGTTGAAGGCTAACAAGGATTTTTGGGAATGCCACGTTATCATGACAATGAATAAATTAATAATTATATATTAATTTATTTTTATTAAAAATCAAAACATGGGCGTGAATAAGTGAGTCCGGATTTAGCCGCATGAGTGGGCAGGCCCATGTCCAGCTTTCGTCCTTGTCTCCTATAAAATCGTCAAACCGCTGAGTCCGGATTCACGGTTTTAGCCGCATGACGTAGCAAAAGCGGCTCTAGTATCGTCGGAGTGGAAAGTTTTTCCATTGGAGATGGACGTTACACTGGATGAATGAATACTGAGATATCCAAAATGGGTTTCTTCAAATAACCTCCGTCCAGTAGGCAGTAGTAGTCCACCCAAATAAAAAAAGAAACGGAAAAGAAGAGAACTGAGATAAGAAGAAATTTAAAATACAAAAAAGAGGAATTTTTCTCATCAACTTCCCTTTACTCTGTGCTTGATGTTACAGGTGGAGGTTGAGGACCACCCCTACTTAACAAAAACAGAGGGCGTGAGTGCAGTACCAAGCTTCAAGATATACAAGAACGGGTCAAGAGTCAAGGACATCCCCGGAAACAACCACGAATTGTTAGAAAGCTCAGTCAAATTCTACAGCAGTTGATAAATTCACGATTCCCATCCCACTGTTACATTTCAAAGACACATTAGAGAGAGATTACACTTAAAAGATAGAAACAAAAGAAAGAAATGCATTGTATGTTCACTTCCTTTCCTTTCCTTTCCTTTCTAAAGAAAAGAGAATGGAGTAGAGCTCCCACTAAGAGAAAACAATGGCAAAAGATTGGTCGTCCTTGCTTCTTTGTCTCCAAGGAATCAGATGGCGTTGCAGTCAGGGAACAGAGAATGAAGAACAACAGGACGGAGGGGGACACGGAAGATTAGATTAAACTAATCAAACAAGAAAAGAAGAGTGAAAGGCAGGATTCTGTTGAGTATGTGTGTATATGTGTGCATGTAATGACAATGTATGGACGACATATCTAGTGGAATGAAGATACTTGGTTGTTTATTTTAGGGTGCGTTTATGTTTTTTTTTTTAAAGGGTTGGTTGGTGCATTGGTGGGAGGTTCTTATTGTAAGATTAAATGAAGCATGCATTTGAATCTTTTTTCTTCCGATCCCTTTCTTTAACATTGATTTATACTTTAATGCTTATCTGCATTACATTTCAATGCTAAGGCTGGCCTACTGCAAATAATACTGTGGGTACGTGGGAGCTGTCCTTCAAATTAAAGAAAAGAAATTGGGATTAGACTAATCCAAAGGCGATGATTAAGCCAAACACTAAAAGATTATGAGTTTATATTAGTGCGCCTTATTAGTTATTACCACGGATCAGTTTGTTTAATGCCACTTGGTTCTCATTGTATCATTAGGGAAAAGGTTAGTCTTAACTCTAATGATTAATGATTAATGTTAAATTTCGAGTTTTTCCAAGTCTAAATTCATCACCAGTACCTCAAATAAAACCCAACCCCACTATGGGCCCTCAGAATTTCCATATTTTGCATATTGAAATTAACTATCATTTGATTACATTAACTGTGCATTGTATTATTTTTGGAGCTTTCCTCTGAACTCGTTTCCACTTTCCACAATTTAAATATTTCTTTTCTCCACAATCCAAATACCGCGATCATGTCTCAAGATATCATTTGGGCTGGGCAATATCCATGGAGGGGCCATTTCATTGGTAGGTAGAGATCCATTGAATGTGAGACATAAGACAAAACCAGGCCCAAACTTTCGATATATATAAAATCTGTCTTAAGGGCAGTGACCCAACGAGGGTACCCTCATCAATCATCATAGGACTTGAACACCCAAACTGCGATATGTCCTAATTAAGAGGTGCCCTACCACACCAGAAACCAACATGATTCGATTGTTTTTTTATCAATCCAATAAAAGGAAAATTACATATAGGCATATGTGCACATCGTGATTGTTTTTGGAATCATGACCGTTTTTCAAAAAAACGATGTCACATCGGATTCATATAGGCGTTTCAACAAATGCCCATATATATCATTGTTTGATTCAGGCGTTTGAACCACGGTCATGTACATGACGCTTATCTGTAATATGAGTTGGCGCTCGGCCCACCGGAACATTAACCCAATGAATGGTAGGGTTAGAATGAAAATCGGTCCTCTTCTTTCTTCTTGCCGCCGAAAGTTATCTTCTCTCACAGTCTCTATAACCTCTGCTCGCCGAAAGTTATCTTCATCACTGCCGTCACCGGAAGAGGTTGGTCGTCGCCGGAAGAGGTTTGTTTCTAGACTTTTTTTTCTCTGTGTAAACTCTTTTTTTCTTTTCTTGGATAGTATTTGGGTTTCCGATAGTTTTGCTGTAATCTCTCCCTCTCTCTCTCTCTCTAGCTGAAGTGGCTGAACTGAAATCAACTCTGTATCTGCTACCCCTCTGTTTCCAAAGCTGAAATCATCAACTATAAGAAAACATAGTAAAATAAAGCTTCCATGCATTAGTGTGGACCATTTGATATATGACCGTTGGATTTAAATTTTTAGGCCAGATATTATAAAACAATCATCCAATTAATCTGGACCATTTGATAAGCATCGTTATATAATTTGGTATGATATTAGTATGCATCACCTTACAAGGTAATATGTGTACATACATGAAAAACGGTGATGGAAATCACCTTATCAAACAACATAGTGTTGTTCAATGCCTACGTGGCAAAAATACTCCCAAAACAAAAATAAGGTGTTTTTTTTGAGAAAAACGGGTCTTAAAAGCATGGGCATTTTTTCTTAAAAATCGGTCCCAAAAAATACCTACACTTCCGAACACCATGTAAGTTCAGTCCTTATCTGTCATGTGCCTTAAAATATTATAAAATTCCAAAATTACCCTTCACATATTTTACAAGACCATTTTCCCTTCTCCTTTATTGAGTGCCTAAAATCCAGTTCTTTCAATACTTTCTTTCCTATTTTGTTGAATCTTAGACTTGAACGAGCAGAGCGTTGAAGCAACATACATCAACCTACTAGAACCGTGAATGGGCATTTTGAAAATTTTACCATTCACCATAACATCAGTTAACTTAACAATGCTAAACTTGAGTACTGTTAATGTTTTAAAGTATAGAATACTTGTTTGGTGCAATTGAATGTTTGAGGCCCTTAAATTTTACAAGCCCCCCAAGCACAGCCTTATAAGGTAGACCTATCTGTAATTTTCCAAAAAAAAACTCCATGATTAAAAGATGGCAATTGGGTGTAATTTAATGAGTTCATTTTGGACCGTTAAGATTTTCTATTAATGATCCTATTAAGAGAATCTAACATTAGGTAGTTAAGCACTTAAGCTAATATGATTTTGTTGGTATCGTGTGCGTGCAATGCCCCGTTAGCTTTTCGGTAAGTTATTTATCCAAGTAAATGAAGTTATCTGGGTAGGTCTTTACACTTATTCGGATAAGTGCATTTATCTATGTTCTTTTATTTTTCATGTAAATAAGGCAATGACCATTTTATCTATAAAAATCAATTATTAAAAGGGGCATTTCTGTCCCATTCAAGTGTTAGCAACTTTTCCCCTAGGTGGAAAAGTTATTTATCCACCTAGGAGATGGGTTAAGTGATACACAGGAAAATAAATTTTCTCTAATCCCCACATAAATCTGAAAAAAGAATATGAGATTCTTGGTTAATGGGAACCAAAATCTCATTGACCAATTTTCCCCCCTCTCAAAATCTGAAAAAAGAATGCCCCCCAAATTCCTCTATTATTTGTTAGGTACAAACATGACCAACATGGAAAACCGCTTAACCTGTATTTGGTTGCCCTAGTATAAGTGTATGAGAGTGCAAATGAAAAATAAAATGCAAGATTTAGTTTTATTTTCGGTTTTACTTAATAATGGTTCAGGTCTTATTTTACTTCATTATACTTAAGAATTAAGATGAGGGTTCCCTTATTTATTTCTTTAATTCAGGCAAGTATTATTGGTCAGGGTCTCAGGGACACGCCACGAGGAGTGTAGAATCGAGTCATCAACCGGATTCAACCTTGCCAGTAAGCAATGCTGTAAATTTGGGCTGTCCGATTTGAAGTAAGGTTAGGGTTCGGGTCCATTCAAAGTTTTAGAAATGTTTGATTGAATTCGACCCAAGTTGCACCCCTACCAAAAGCCCACACCCCACAGAGAAAAATATCCTTTTTGTTCTCTTGTTGAATATGGGTACCCAACGATCGAATTCTATGGTTCATGGTTGAGAACCTGTTTATCGCAAGAGAGGAAAAAATAAAAGTGAAGTAGTTATTCGTATTTGACCATTGACATCTTCTAGCTAGACAAAGTAGCTTTGAAATTTGAAGAGCTTGGGAGCCAATCCTTTTAAGAAACCATTGACCCAAGTAAGTAGATTGGTACATCCAGACGAACCGAAAATTCCAAGGTACAAATGGCGATCAACGTTGCTCAAACACAGTTGAAACGCCAAACTTGGTAAGAGTAGCCAGTAGGATTTCGTTGGGTAAGATTGTTTTATATGGGTGAAAAGGAGGTACATGATTATTTGGTGTGCTGAAAGCGGACTGATGGATTTACCATGGATTAGGCAAAACCAACACTTCATCCCAAGGCCCAAACCCAAAAACGTAATTGATCAAGATTCTGGTTTTGTGTTGCATCTGACCCATTGGACGACCTACAAGGACCAAGAGAAAGTGATGCATCAAAGTTATGCACAGGGAAGGAAACAATTAACATAAGTGATTTGATATATGTTTGGTTTTGTGGGTGTTTATTTACAAGATGTTTATCAGATAAATATTTATTTGAAAAATACTGCTTTAAACATCTATTGTCGTTTGGTCGGGCATTTTACAGGTGTTTCAAGTAATACTTCATAAAGTTACTTTCTACCTCGATTTAAAGTGTGTCATATACGCATTTCATTTCAATAGATACCCAGGACTTGGGGGAAACAAGAATTTGAAGATTCCCTCAATGCCTCATGAACATAAATCTAAGCATTTCTATTTTTTTATTGTTTAAACATTGAAACCAAACAGTGATTTCATACACAATAAACACCAAACATAATTTTAATGAATTAAGCATCAAGGGTTGTTATATTCATTTTCTTCATTAGAGCTTCAGCTCAGGGATGTTAAGAACCACATAGCTCAATGGGTTAGAGTTGACGCCTGAAGCAAACTTGACCCAACCCAAACCTCATATATTCTATATATTTCTGTATATTTATGTATATTTATATTTATATTTATACTAGCGGGGACCCATGCCATATATGGAATTTATCAAAGAAAAGTGAAATTATGGAAACTGATAATTATATTAATAATTTTAATAATTTGTTATAAAAAATAATTTAGTAATTTAGATTAATTATATTAATAATTTTTAACAAAATAATAAATTACTGCTGATTATTTAATAAATAATTATTTTTTACATTAATCATTAATGTTCTATTTTATTTGTTTTACTTTATTAATGATATAATTAAATTAATCTATAGATTAACTTTTTTAGTCATAATTAAATTAATATAAGTCTAAGTTCAAGAGTTAAGACTTCAGCTTGGACTTCGGTCAAAGATTTAAATATCAACAGGATACGTTCTATCATATCGGTATCGGCTTATGGCGTATCCGTATTGGGCACCGATATGCAATGTTTCTCTATGAAAAATATGCAAGCATGGTAATTCGAACTTAGACCATAGAGCACACCTAGAGCCTTACTCCTTAAATAAAATTCTAAGCCATTAATCCACATTCGTCCTTTCGATAATAAATAAAATAAAATTTATTAACTTCTGTCTATACATGCGATTTTTCAATCTCTATTACCAAAAAAAAACTCTAACTAAAATTTCAAAACGAATAAGAAAAACTAAAATTTCAAAAGAATAATATTCAAAAATGGTATTTTATAAACTAATACAACAAATAATCTATCAAATCCGTGTTTATATAAAAAAAAAGATGATTTTTAATATCAAGAAAATTATACAAAGAAAATATTAAGAATAGAATAATTATTTTAATACTTAAAATTTATAAATTTACAAATGATATGCATGTTAAAATTATTATATATTTTTACAAA